GGCCTCTATGCCTGCTAGCAGATGCATTAATCCACTGAGCTATTTGGCCGGCCCTTACAAATCTTTGTAAGATATGCTTATTTCTAGTTTTCTAGAAAGGCATTTATGAAATGCTAATGGTGCAGTGCTTCAGAAACCAGATCTGGGATGCAACTCATTACTGACCAACTAATGTTGATATGAAAGCCTAGAAAAGAAGTCAGTATCTGTCCTCCAAGGGGGAGAGGTCTTGGGTCTGAGGCCCTACTGTACCACACAGTGCCCATTGATCTACATTATAACAGAGGTTGATTCACATAAAGGGAAGTGGGGTTATCTACAAAATTACATAAATCATCAGGACTGCAACACTATCCACTTCAGTCATTTGTCAAAGATGAAAGGGCATGGTAGGGAGATAGCGCAGTAGAATAAGTGCTTGTCTGGCCAAGTGCAAGGTCCTGAATTCAATCCTTTGTACCAAAAAAAAAAAAAAGGGGTCCAGCATATGCTAAAATAGCTTATATACACACTACTGTCATAGGGAGAGGGATTATAATTAAGCTAAAAAATCTACTTGTAAGATGTAACATACGGTTTGTGATTAAATATTCTTTCAAAAGGCTGAATAGTACATAGATGCATGTATAGGTGTAGAGTAAAATCTAAGCAGAAGTACATCATTTACAGATTTTAAAGCAATCAGCTTTTCATTTGTAACTTCTGAATCATTCCCCACAGCTATAGTCTGGGAATAGTTACTGATTTACTAAGAATTCAATTACCAACCTGGAATAATATTGTTATTGAAAGTCCACGTTAGCTTGGGCAGAGGAATGCCAGTTGCTCTGCAGCTCAGGCGTAGCTGTTCTCCTTTATTTAAGGACACATCTCCGGGAAGCTCAGTGAACGTGGGGAGGACATGGACAGTCAGGCTGATGGTGCGCGAATCTTCGCCTGCAGCGTTGTTAGCGACACAGGTATAGAGGCCAGAATCTTCCAGCTAAGATGAAAAAAGTCACAGTGATACAAACTGTATCATCTCAGATCATGTTACATAAAAGAAAATTGCAGAACCTGTTTCCCAAATGAGCACTCTGTCAACTTTCCGTCTTCTAGTCTAAGCCAGGTTAGCATCTACATGATTTAAAATGCATAGGAATTTAAGCAAAAGCCCATATCATACAATGACGGCAATCATTTTAGAGTAAGTACAATTTCAGCTTTAGATTCGGAACTTTCCTAAGCAGCAAGTGAATTGGTGTCCTGCAATGTACAAATAAAGCAAAAACCATCACAAAGGCAGATTGCATCTTCACAGTGTAGCTGGCTGGCTCTCTGGGTAATGTGGTCCCGATGATCATCACAATTATCAGCAGAGAGAGCAAGAGGAAGGCAACGTTGCCTCCAAGCCTGCAGTTTCACCTCTTCAATCTATCTGCCAGCTCTCATTACCCATTTTATAGGTTGCCCATTTTATTTGATAATAAAGTCTTTAATTTGTCTTCATTTGCCTCCCAGGACACCATGCTCTCCTAGTTTCCCCTCTGCTTCACTGGTTGCTCCTTCTCCATATGTTATGCTGGTGTCCCCTCAATATTAGTGTCTTAATTATAATGTGAG